AGAGGTCCCAAATGCCTCTCTGGTCAAGACAGGGGCTGGAAAAGGGTCCCAGCCTCATTGGTAGAGGTTCTGAGTCCCTCGCCAGCCATGCAAGCCCAGGCACATCATCTCACTTCTTGCCCATATTGTGAGCAGCAGGGGTGGATGGGACAGCGGCTGGGACCTTCAGGGTGCTGGCCATTCAGGGAAGAACCGTGAGGATGGGCTGCCTTGGTCCCTGAGCTCGGTGTGCAAGGACTGCGTAGCGTGGCACCAAGCCTGGGGGGCCAGGGAGTCCTCAAGGAGCGCACGGTCTGGTGGGCAGGACTATACAACCCAGGGTATTCCAGACCTCAAAACAGGGCCTAGCCCCCCCAGCCTGCTACGTGGCAGCCACGTCTCAGCCCCTCCAGCTGTGCTGCCCTCACTCACTCCACTCCAAGCCTCACTGGCCTCATTCAGCTGCTCAGATGCACCAAGCTCCATCCTCCCCTCCCCGCTTGGAGCCTGCAGATGAATGCTGTTCCCTCTGCCTGGAATGCTCTTCCCCCAGTTCCTCCCACAGCTGCCTCCTTCTCAACTGCAAGGTTTCACCCAGTTATCACCTGCTCAGAGAACTCCTGCCCTCTCTCATTATTCTCTCCTGTTCTCTGTTCTCCAGACAGCCCGAGTTTAATCTCAGCAGTGCCACTTACTGGCTGTGTGACCTTGAGCAAGTTACTTAACCTCTCTGTCTCAGTTTCATCTTTAATACTGGCACAAAGCTATTACCTACTGCCGAGCTGTTATAAGGAATTACTGAGTTCAGGCATGCTTGGCACATAGCTAGCACTTATGTGACGCTCATCCTACTGTTATTATTCACAGGTTTTCCTTCTGTATTTCTTTGACTACCGTTTCACTTGGTCTCCCTCATTAGCTGTAGCTCCACACGACAGCCTGGGTTCATCCCAGTGCACTCAGCACCTGACACATGCTAATCCTGTGGAGGGAACAACTGAAGTCAGGAAAACATCCTAAGGAAATGCCATTAATTCTGGGGGCAGGCAGGATGGGAATTGGCATGGGAAATGATGGCCAAGCCGGGTTTTATAAGATAAAGAGTCCTCCAGGACAGACTAAGAGCGCTAAGGGTATCTGCCCATGGCTGAGACTGAGGTTCAAATGTGGCTCCTACATAGGCTGAAGCTGTGTCTGAGCCTTGACTCTTCCTCCAGGAAGCCTTCTGGGACCACTTCAGCCTGCTTCTGAGCTCCCACTGTCACTCATTCTTTCAGTAGTTTTTGCACTCCTACATAAAATGGGCATGTCATTTTATGTCTATGGTTCTCCCTTCCAACCCCACACAGGGCGGGGGGGGGGGGCTTCTCAATCAGATGACCCCTGCCATTCATTGTCAGGACCAACCTCAAGGGGATGCACAAACCCTTCACAAACATCCAGACCCCTAGGATGTCAAGGCTGGTGGGGACCTCAGGGACACCCAGAGATGGGGAACACCTGGTCCAAGGTTATATGAGAGCAACGGGGTGAAGATAAACTAATCCAGGGTGATCAAATGTTGTACCCTAAACCTCCCCATATCTGAACTAGATCCCCTAATGCGGCTGGAGTTTGGGGGTGGGGAAGTGCACCTCCAGCTTCCTCGGGTTCAAGGTGAAGCAGTGGGTCGCCACGGGGTATGGGGAACAGCATGTAGGTCTGTGGGTTCATGTCAGCAGCACACCAGCACAGGGCTTCTCAGAGGAACTGGACAAACAGCGGAGCTGTTTCAACAGTAAATAAAGTTCCTGGGCCCTGCCTGAGTCAGTCTAGAACTCATGCTGAGCAGGGATACCCAGCCTCCCACTGAGCTGCCAGCAGGTCCCTACCAGCCCAGTGTCCAGTGTAGACTGACCCTTGACCCCTGGATGGGAGACAGGAGGACAGAGGGACCTTTCCACTGGACAGACACTCAGTGCTCCTCAAGACCCCTGCCCCAGCTCGGCAGCAGACTCACCACCTCCCTCATTCAGTCACTCCCTCCCTAACGCCCTCTCCCCTTCTTCCCTCCTTCACCGTGCAGAGTGCTTGCTGAGTACCCAGTGGTGGGTAAGAGCCAGAACATTCCAACTCCACAATGCCCACTATCTGCAGAGCCGCAAGATACTGACAAGGGTCGCCACCCCTGTGATGTGAAGCCTCCCTTTTATTCGCAATTTAACATGGCTTTCTTTAGTCCCCAGTGAAGAGAGCTGGGCAGGGAGGAGGGGTTGGTTTGCTTGCTTTTCATTAAAAACTAGGGGCCCAGTGCACGAATTCGTGCACCTTGAAACGAACTGTGGGCTGTGAGGCTGCAGTGAGCACAGGGGGCAGGTCTTGGCCCCTCCCACTGTGGCCCCGTCCCCTGTCTGCCTGTAGCCCCGCTTCCACCGCCACCCCACTCGCATCTGCTGATGGTGCAGAGTGACTGGGGCTGGAACCAGTAGTGGGTGCAAGCGGGGACAGCACTGTCAGCGAGTGGGAGCAGCGGCTGCTGCCCTGATCACCTCTCAGGAGCAGGGGGAGGCGGAGAAGCCCTGAGGGGCAATCAGGACCGGTGCCAGGCACTGACAGCAGGTGTAAGAGGTGGCTCCAGTGCCAGCAACAGGTGCAAGCAGTGCCAGCACCAGCAGCAGGTGCGAGTGCCAGGTGGGACTGTGACGCTCAGGAGCAAAGAATTTTCAGTAACCACTAGAGGCTCGCTCCAATGGCAACAACCAGCGCCCCGCCTTGGTCTGGCACCCCCACTCACCGGCTCCACCATCCTGCTGCAGCCGACACCCACCATGTTCCGCGCACGCCCCCCGGTGGTCAGCACATGTCATAGTGACCAGTTGTTCAGTTGTTTGGTTGTTTGGTTGTTCTGCCATTTGGTCTATTTGCATATTAGCCTTTTATTATATAGGATGGCTTTGATAACAGCCCAGAAAACAGTCCCCAACTCTCCTGTATTCCTAGGGAACTTAGAGAATTCAGGAGGGAATAAGGGAGTCCAAGGAGATCTGCCATGTAGGCAATGGTTCAAAGGTGGCAATCCAGGCCAGAGTGTTCTCGGCCGGCACGAGGTCACCCGTGTCACCTTGCAGGTCCAACTTCCACGCCCCACAGCCAGCTCCACTCCCCAACTCAGTGTGGGTGCGGACTGTGAAGAAGAGGAATGTCCTGGGGCGCCGAGTCAGGATGTGTGGGTTGGAATTCCACGCTGGGCTTTCATCGGGCTGAGCCTCAGGTTCTTAAGAGCTCAAACTCAGCTCTGCCCCTTCCTACCAGTGTGATCCTGGGCAAGTCACTCAACTTCCCTGCGCCCGTTTCCTCACCTGGGATATGGGGATGACAGCTTTACCAGCCTCCCAGAGAGCTGAATGGGTTAATGTATGCATGGCCGGGTGCCTAGCAAGGTCAGCGCTAGGTAAGGAATTGTGCTAGAATAGGATATTGTTATCTTCGCAAAATAGTCGCAGTGAAACGTCCCTCCCCAGCTGCCTTCTCCCCGGTTACTGATAAGGGTAATGGGGAAAGAGTCAAATCAATGAGAGAAGAGTTAAAGATGATGGAACATAAACACAGACAGCCCCACCCACCTGGAAGATGCTCTCTGCCCTGTGCTCTCTGCCCTGGGGCTTTGGCCCTGCCCAACACTGTGCTAGGCTCACTGAGAGCAGCCTTGGGGAACTCACTGGCTGATGGAAGAGATTTACATGCAAGTCCACCACACAGTCCAGGGTGAGAAGGGACTAACACAGAGGCTCGCTGTGCTGAGAGAAATCTGGGAAGGCTTTTCGGAGGAGGCAGCATCTGAGCTGAGATCTGAGGGCTCAAAAGCACCTTTCCCGGGAAACAAGTTAGCAGGGGGTGAGGGGAGGCTGGGGTCACTCTAGCAGAAAGTACAGTATGTACGACAGAGCGAGGAGAGAACTAAGTTGGTATACGGAGGCAGGGCAAGCAGTGCAGGGTGGCCACCATACTAGATGCAGAGGGGAGGGCAGGGTGAAAGGAGGAGGGAGAGGTGGGCAGGGCACATTGCCCAATCCTTTGGTATCAAGTGAGGAATGTGAACATTATGCTGAAGGCAGCCATCTGAGAAGGTGAGGAATAATCATATTTACTTTGTAGAAGCATCCCTCCAGGGGCAGGTGGGTTGGAGGGGGCTGGATGTGAGACAGGGGAACCAGGGAGGAGGCTGCACGGAGTCCGAGCTCAGTGGTGATCATGCAGATGGAGGGAGGGGGTGGATGAGAGATTTCTTTACTTGCACCCGCCCCTTTTAAAAAGGCTTTTCCTGAAAACATCCTCGGGGGCCACCCACTCCACGCCCAGCACAACCTTTGCCAGTGTGTCCTGAACCCCTCCTCTGTTCCCCAGATCAAACGCCCGCTGAGCACTGGGTCTGTCTCGTGCCTCCGCATCTAATCTCAGCTCCAAAGTCCCTGTTAAGAGGTTCCCGGGAAACGTTAGCGAGGTCACCTTGCAGGACGCGTGTCACCAGCCCTCACTTGGCCCTGCACTTGCTCTCCCAAGAGCTTTTAGCTCCCCAAAACTCTGGCTTCACCCTGTCGCACTGGCCCACACACCCAAACCCTGTAACATCGCCTTTGAGCCCTGAACTCTGAGACCACACAGCCACAGAGCTCGTGTGTCCTGCAGAAACCCACACAGACCTCTGCCGGGAGAAACACACACACACACACACACACACACACACACACACACACACACCATAGAATCGCAGACACAAAGAACATGCGAAACATGATTGCTGTCAGCACAGCCTGCCCTGGGGAGCTGACCGCCCTGGGGCTTGTGTGGGAAGTGTTGCTTATAATAAAGCAGCCCAGGGTCCTGCGATTTCTCCTTCCAAAAGAGAGTTAGAAAATGGCCCATGGAAAATGAGAGAGGAGACGTAGAACTTCTGACTTAAAATGGAAACTTCACTTCTCTTTCGGGATCCCCAGATCATCCCCTCCCCTTTGCTGCCAACCCACCCGGCCCCCACTCCATACCTTTCGCAGTTGAGATCCAACATTCTGCATCATGGTGGCTGAGACCCCGCTAGCTAGCTGGTGGCACACGGGTGGCAGCACCCTCCAAGAGCCGCGAGTCACCTGAGCAACAGTCTCTCCGGCTCCATATGAAGCCTGTGGGCAGTCAGTCTCCTCCCGCTCCTCCTCCCAAGCGCCCGCCCCCGCTGAGCCCAGGCCCCAGCCTCGCCGAGGCTGCCCTCTGCCCCCCTTCTCCTAGAGCCCCCGCACAGCAGCTCCTGTGCCTGCCCGGAGGACAGGAAGGAAAGAGGCTGCCAGCTGGGGCACAGCCACCTCAGGGGGCCCGGTGCCCGCCCACTGGGCTCCTAGCCGCACACTCGCTTTGCTTCCAGCCAAACTTAGTCACCCCCTTTCCAGCCCCTGAATCCTCCCCACGGGGTCTCCTGGCTCTGGGGTCGCTCCCAGGGGCCTGGAAGCTCCAGATCCCCGGGCCCAGGCTGGCAGACTGTGAACCACCCGGGCTGCAGGCTTCCCTCCCTGTGCAAGGGATCAGGTGGGGAGGTGGCAGGAGGCCAGGGAGCTGCCAGCAAGTCCCAGAGAGATACCAGAGCCACCTGCTAGGACTCTTCACCCTTGGGAGTGCTGCTCCCCCGCCCCACTGCTCCAGGCGGCTGGCTTCCAGCCACTGCTGGCCAGGGACGGGGCACACCCCTCACTGCCTTAAAATAGGTGGCATGACTTTTCTAAAAGTGGCACCTGCCACATCCCACCCCATTGGCTCCACAGAACTCGGCCCCTGGGCACCCATCCTAGCCCCTCTGTAGCCACTACTGACTGAGAGACTACCAGCACTTCCCCTTCTCCCTCCCACTCCTGCAAGAGGCTTGAGGAGGAGGCCTTGAAGCTCATGGTGGACTGCTTATGACGGGGCAATGAAATACAGTGCTCAGCGGTTCAGGGATAAAGAGGGGTGGCGATCCAGGCAGGGGAGCTGGATGGACAATGAACTCCTTATGATAACTGAGCACCTCTGTGTACCAGGCCTCACCGTGGTCCTCGCTCTAACCCCACCACAGGTCCCTTGGGGAAGGTGGGCGATGTGTCTCAGGTGGCACAGCTACAGAGTGCAGAGCTGTGCTGGCACAGAGGTCACCTGATTCTGAGGCCTCTGCCCTTCCCTGTGCCCCTCCATTTCATTCACCACATATCAAAGCCTGCCTCCCCTGGGCCTGAGGCACCTGGGTTCTGGGCGTGGTTCTTTCACCTACATGCGACGTGACCGTGGGCATGCTCCCTCCTCCCTCGGAGCCTCCCTGCGCTAGGAGTCAAGGACCCCAGTGTCCACCCCCCAATGTCCACCCCTATGAGCTCAGGCCTTGCTCTCAAATTGTTTATGGTCTGTCAGCAGCTTAGTGTCTACAGATGAGAAAGTAAAGTCACACCTTAAAGACTGCAAGATGGTCCGAGGATGGCACTTGGGGTGGGGCAAGCCAAGAGGCTTCCTGGAGGAGGCATGGCTAGAGCTGGTCTAAAGACTGGATGGGGCCCTGGCCAGCTTTTCTCAGTGATTAAAGCATTGGCCCTCAGACCAGAGGGTCCCAGGTTTGATTCCCAGTCAAGGGCATGTACCTCAGTGGCAGGTTCGATCCCCAGTCCTGGGCCGGGCACGTTCAGGAGGCAACCAATCAATGTGTCTCTCTCACGTCGATGTTTGATCAGGGCACATGCCTGGGTTGCAGGTTTGATCCCCAGTGGGGGGAGTGCAGGAAGCAGCCAATCAATTATTCTCTCTCATCATGGATGTTTTTATCTTTCTCTCCCTCTTCCTTCCTCTCTGAAATCAATAAAAATATATTTCAAAAAAAATTTAATAAATAAATAAAAATCAATGAAAAAATATTCTCCATTGAATATTCTCCATTGAAAGACTGGCTAGGCTGAGAAGAGGGGTGAGGGAAGGCTTACCAGAAACAGAAGAGGGTGCTGTCATAGGCAGTGAGGGTGCTCGTTTTGCAGAAAAAAGTGGGGAATCTGCCAAGGGAGGGGCCTCGAATGCCAGGCAACAGGATTTAGGCATTAAGAAGCCTCTGAGAATGACAGACATGCTCACGTGATAAAAGCCATGTGAGGTGAACAGGACAGGTGTCGTGAGCCTCTCTAGACTGGAGAGGAAACCAGCACGGAGAGGGGACAGTTCATGTCCTTCAACCTCACAGGGTTCGGGCAGGCAGCAGGACAAGCTCAGGCTCTCGCTATGCAGATGAGGGAATGGGAGCCCAGGGAGCCTCTGGCCGCCTCCCTACCCTCTCCAGAGAACTGTCATGGCTCAGGCTCCCGGGTCTCAGTCTAGTCCCCTCACCTTACAGACGGAACATGAAGGCCCAGAAATGAAACGTGAGCCCCAAAGTCACCCAGGAAGGAGGGCGTCCAGAAACACCACTCCTGACCTCAGATGTGGAGTCCTGTCCACCCCCTCCCACGACAAGGCATCAAGTGAGAGAGGCTGCAGGGAGACTCCTGAGAGGGTGTCCCCCAAGGTGCAATCAGTGTTATTATCAGGAATGAGGAACAGAAGCCCCGCCCACCCACAAAGGACTCTCTCCTCTCTGCTCTTTAGTACAAAACCGACTCCTGTGTCTCGTCAGCAGTTCTGTCCAGGGTGGCACCCCAGTGGCTATTTCCATGGATGTCTGCCTCCCTTTCCCAGCTCACCTGGGAGCCCCCTGAGGGATGTGCCCCCTCCCCACCAGCCCCCAGACCAGGGCCCTAAATGCCGGAAACATGAAACACACCTGCACGAACCACAGCCTTGGGAAGGCAGGCGGAGAAGAGACCATAAGCCATAGCTATGCCAATGCTCCTCAAACTTCAGCATCAGAATCAGCCCTCTGCTGAGAGGGCTATTAAACACAGCCTGCTGGGCCGTCTCCAGGAGAGCCCGAGGAGCGGCGTTTCTAACAAGATCCCAAGGGATGCTTGTTTTGCTGGCACCGGGACTCTACTTTGAGATCCAGTGAGCTAGGTCAGCCCTCCCTTTTTACAGCCGGGGCAATGAGGCCCAGAGATTTCAAAGGCAGCTCCTGGCAGCATATCAACATCATCATCAGCAGCAGCAGCAGCACTGTCATCGTCACCACAGCCCTGCTGACCCGCCCAGCACTGTGCACGCACTCCATGTATCTCACCAGCCGCGGGCCTCGCCCTGCGAGGAAGGTACTGTGATTATCCTCTGACAGGAGAAAATGAAGGCAAAGAGTCATTTGTCCAAAGTCACACAGTTGAAGAACCCTGATCTGTATCTGGAGCCCACGAGTTCAACCACCACTCTACACAGTCTGCTTACAGCTAACGCTGGTCAAGGAATTCTCTAGAGCAGTGGTTCTCAACCTTCCTCATGCCGGGACCCTTTAATACAGTTCCTCATGTTGTGGTGACCCCCAACCATAAAATTATTTTCGTTGCTACTTCATAACTGTAATTTTGCTACTGTTAGGAATCGTCATGTAAATATCTGATATGCAGGATGTATTTTCATTGTTACAGATTGAACATAATTAAATCAGAGTGATTAATCACAAAGACAATATGTAATTACATATGTGTTTTCCGATGGTCTTAGGCGACCCCTGTGAAAGGGTCGTTCGACCCCCAAAGGGGTCGCGACCCACAGGTTGAGAACCGCTGCTCTAGAGGTTCCCAATTCCAGTTGGTTCATTTCTGGTGTGGGATGAGCTGTGCGGCACTCAGCCCAAAGGCCTGGTCCTCAGGCGCCCTGCATCTTCAGAAAGCCTGCCTCTTAAGCCCAGTGAGCCCAGAGTATTTTCTCCCACAAATACTTCTTTTCCCACATTACATCCTTCATCAGGCCCCACCAATGGGCCTTCCTGGCTGGAGGACAAATGTTTGCGTTAATTCTTCAGGTCCATATCCCAGCTCTCCTTCCCCATACAATGACAAAACACAATGGAAACAATCTCCATCTCTATTCCATGGTGATACTGCATTGGGTCACCATCAGGCACCAGTCTGTCTCCACCATCAGACTAGGAACGCACAAGGGCAGGGACCTCATCTGAGTCATGAGTTCTCAGCACAGGGCCTGCCGGGAGCAAGGGTTTAGTGACTAAATGATAAGGAAGGTAAATGATGGAAGGAAGGAAGGAAGGAAGGAAGGAAGGAAGGAAGGAAGGAAGGAAGGAAGGAAGGAAGGAGAGAAAGGAGGGAGGGAGGGACGGAAAGAGTGTAGGAGCAAATGAAGAAATGAACTAGTGAATAACCAAACTCCCAGGAATTCCCTCTGCTGGGCCTTTTAGTTTTCCCAGATAGGACTACAGACTTTCTAGGTAGGAGGGGATCTCTGACATCATCCACTCCAGCTCTCACTTTCGGCACTGTCCTAGCTGAACCCGTCCATGGGCCAGAACCTATAGCTCTACCCACCACACACATACCTCTAGTGCCCAGCCTCCACTTGCATACCTCCCAGGTTGAAGAGCTCACTCCGTCTAAGGCTGCCTGTACAGTTAAGGAGTTCTCATAGGCAGGTGGGTCTTGCCATCAACCCATGACCATGGCTCTAGGTCACCCAGAACAAAGCTGCTCCCTGGCCTGTGACACTGGCAGAGATGTGAGAGCACGCGCCCTGCCCTCTGCCTGGCCCTGGCCTCCCTGTCCAGACTGACTTCTAGTCTTCCCAAGCCATGAGCAGGGCTCCCCATGGTGCCTCCCACACCTGGGGTTTCCTCGGCTCCTGCTGTTCTCTCCATTCTATTAACTCTACATCCCAACCCTGCCCCCAACAAGGCCCGCTCAAGTGGCACCACCTCCAGGAAGTCTTCTGGGCCCCACCTAAGTGGAAATGACATCCCCTCCCTCAATCCCCTCACACAAACACTCACACACCTCACAGCCCTTTCTTTCTCAGTCATGCTGTTTTTTTCTCTTAGATTGGGCTGGTATATGTTAATTTCTCCTTGACCATGAGCAAGCTGGCAGTGTTGATTCATCAGGGTATCCTGCCCCCCTCCCACTAAATATTCAGGGCCTTGATCAATAGTAGATGTTCAGTGTCCAAAGAATGAAGGAATGAGTAATTGAATGGGAAAGAACAAGGGAATGTGTGAGTGAACGGAAATAAATACATGAATGAATGAATGAGTGAATGAATACACGAATGAATGAAAGAATGCTAGTATGTTGTCATCCT